ATGAAGAGCTTATGATCGAAACGGTATCGATAGAGAGTCCTTTAGGCCGTAGCGACCATGCAACCCTCATGTTCAAGTACATCTGTTATGCAGAGTATTCCACAGAAAACACCGAGGAATGCCAGCTCATTACGGATTACGGCGCTCTAGTCAAACTGATAAATACTACAAACTGGGCATTTCTAGCAGAACGTTCCCCCGATATCGCCTGGTCTGAATTTGCTCACCAGTTTAACACGTTAGTAACTAGTGCTTCTAGAAAAAGACCTTCGCGAGCGAAGACAGTAAAATCATTCATACGCAGCAGGACACGCAAGTGTATCGCGACGAGAAATTTATCCTGGCGAAGATACAAGGAGTCATCGAGTGCCGAAACATGAGAAGCCTACACTATCCAAAGGAATCACTGCGTAAACCTGGTACGCGAAGATAAAATGCAGCACCAACAGAATCTAGCTGAGAAATATCATTCAAACCCCAAACTCCTGTACAGACACGTTAACAAGCTCCGCAAAGTACAGCGAGGAATTCCTGCTTTACACACATTGTGTGGACTTGCACAAAACGCAACCGAGGCGGCCAACGCCCTATGTCAACAATTCGCCCCGAACTTCCAGAGTACGACATCGCCGCATACACTGTTCCCAATCGTTGTACCACCACCAGGACTCAGCCACATCACGTTTACGACTGAGGATGTCATGAAAAGGCTAATTGCCCTGCGCAAGCATACCTCTCCCGGTGTTGATAATATTCGTCCAAAAGCTTTGCAGTTGCCTGCAGTAAACCTGGCAGACCCACTCTGCAAGTTCTTCCAACGATGCCTCGATGAGATGCGCGTGCCAACAATGTGGAAGCAAGGCATCGTCACTCCCATCCATAAGGGGGGAAGTCGTACAGATCCGGCCAACTACCGCCCGATAACACTACTCCCGGTGCTCTCCAAAATCATGGAAGCGATTGTCGCCGAAACTCTGATGAACTTCTTGGAAGAACGAAATATCATAGCACAAGAGCAACATGGGTTTCGCAAGAACCGATCTTGCACTTCAAACTTGCTGCTTGCCAGATCTAGTTGGACTGAGACCGTTGACAACGGCGTAGGTGTTGACGCAGTATATCTGGATTTCTCAAAGGCTTTCGACCGTCTGAACCACCGTATCCTCCTTCACAAGCTGCAGTGTTGTGGAATTGGTGACCCAATCCTCGGTTGGATAGCTAACTTCTTGCATCAACGACATCTGAATGTAAGAGTTCGCGGCGTCATCTCTGACCTAATCGACGTTAAGTGCGGAGTGCCCCAGTGCTCAGTACTTGGTCCACGACTATTCCTAATTTACACAAACGATCTCGCGACAGTAATCAACTCCAACTCCTTACTCCGCTGATGATCTCAAGATATGGCGAGCCATTAGAACAACCAGCGACAATGCAGCACTTCAGAATGATCTGGACAGGGTCTACGAATGGTCGACTCAGAACCTGCTTCAGTTCAATGCTACAAAGTGCAAGATGCTGAGCATACGCCATAAAGCTACTTGTGAATACAGACTGGGAGATCAAATATTGCAGCGCACAACAACGGAATGCGATCTAGGCGTGATAGTGCAGGAAGATCTGGGCTGTTCCCGTCAGGCCGAGAAAGCCTCCAAAAAAGCTAACCAAAATCTTGGCCTTTTGTGGAGGGCATTCGGGCGCTTCGATCCTTCCATCTTTTCCCAGATGCTGAACGCCTACATTCGGTCTCATTCTGAGTACGCCATCCACGCTTGGCAGCCATGGCAGAAGCAAGACCTTACCGCTCTTGAACTGCCACAACGAAGGGCGACCAAGAACGTAAAGGGTCTGTTTCATCTCCCTTACCGATTGAGGATGAAAACCCTCGGGGTCTACAGTGGACAATATCGACGCCTGCGTGGCGACTTGATAATGACTTATATGATCCTGAGGAATCCAAACCATTGTTGTCGTCACCTACTAAATCTGAAACACAATACCACACTCAGAGGACACCAACTAAAGCTGGCCACACAATACAGCCGGTTGGAATGCCGCCGGAATTTCTTTTCCCTTCGTGTGTGCCAACACTGGAACGCTCTTCCCACATACGTTGTTTCTTCCCCCACGCTATCGCTATTCAAAAGACGTCTGGATGATTCGCTTATCCACCTACATTACGCCATATAATCAGAGATGTCCACGTTGAACAAACACGAAAAAATACGGTGCTCATTCTCAGCTTTTGTGCTTCACTATTTACACACTGCTGTTGTGGAATATAGTTTCGGATATATTACAACTGCATTCATCAATTTACCCCAGTCCAAGAAAGCGGCGCACGAGTAAGCGTTGGTCGTTTCTCTTGTCCTTAAGACCTGCCTTACCCATATTACTTACCATATTACTCTACAGTAACAATTCAGTACATATTCTACAGCGTTTCTATGAATAAGGGGCACTTGAATTCACTAGAAGCTTAAACTGACGATTTACACTGATGCTTACTTTCACTTCAACCATCCTACGGGACTTGTAAAGCAGTCGCTTTTTTACCTGTAATATATCATTGTTCATTGTACCCACTTTTATACCCGCTTGATTTCGTGGGGAGGGCGGGGTAAAATTATTGAGCTTAGGTAGTCTCCTTCATCATTCAAGGGGCCCTCCACTTTCGAGAGTTCAGGACTCTGATGCTGTGAATTGGAGGAGGTGATACGTTACGGACAGACTGGTGGCATTATACGGACACTGTATGATCACGTATTCTTGGCGGTTGGCATTTTGATCATTGCCCCACGTTCCAACTTCACGGCGTTACAACTGGGTTGATAATTAATCGATCACACTTCAAATCGGTAGAGGAGAGTTGAAACGAAACAAGGCTCTTGGACCTGACGACCTTCCTCCATCTTTGTTGAGAGATATTGGTGACGCTTTATTGACTGGACTCGCTACATTATTTAACACGATTTGGAACAGTGACGACGTAATTTCAGATTGATGACTGCCAATTGTCGTGTCCATCTTCGAGAAGGATCAGCACACTTTGTGCGAAAATACTCGAGGCATCAGCAATGCTTCCAATGCATTCAAATTTCTCACAGACGTCATTCTCCGACGACTTACTAGTCCCCGTGAAAACCGATTCACTGGTCGTTTTCACTAACTTCCGCCCTGGTCCTGGTTGTAGCGACCGCATATATATTCTTCGCCGTGATAGAACAGAGCTACACATACAGACGACAAAACAGTGGTGGTTTTTCTTGACTTGAAAGCTGCCTTCGACTCTGTTGACCGTGCCAGCTTGTGGCACTGCATATCCATGAAGTGTGTGCTGGCTAAAATCCTTTCCATTCTTCAGTATCTCCACCGTGATCCCCGAGGCCGTGTAAGGGTCTACGAGAAACTGTCTCTTGAGTTCCCCACCACAAGTCGGGTTCGTCAGGGTTGTCCTATATCTCCTTCCCACTTCAGCATTGTTACAGAAATGATCGTGAATGAATCCGTATTTTCAGACTCTACCGTAGTGGAAGTTTTGCCAGGTAACCGACTGACAATCCGGGAGTATGAGAACGACATAGCTCTCCTTTGGGGTCCGACGCAGTGGTCATGCAAATAGTGCTGGATAGACTGACGCGTAGCGTCGTACGCTACGGCATGTGTTTTGCACCTTCAAAGCGCAAAGTACTGCTGCACGACTGGACCGACACATCTCTGGCTCTACCTATCACCGAACAACGACTGGAAGTGGTGTATCGGTTCACTAATCTTGGTAGCTGTGTTACCTCTGGTGGTCACATCGTTGAGGAAGTTACTTCGCGTATCAGCAAGGATCGTGTGGCTTTTATGACTCAACCATCTATGGAGACAGCGGGATATCAGCCTGTCTGTGAAAGGCATGGTGTATAATGCTGCGGCTAGGTCGGTCTTACTGTATGTATCAGAGACCTGGCCAGTTCGCGGCGAAGAGATTAAACGCTTGGCCGTATGTGAACACTGGTGCTTGCGGAGTATTGCTCACGTCTGATTGCAACACTAGGTGAACAATACTATTCGCCAGTTGGTTGTTAGCAAGAAACCTTCTGGTGCCTCATTAGTGTTTGTTGAATCTTCATCGTTTACGTTGGTAAGGCCATGTCCTCCGTAGGCCCGTTGACTGGTTTCATGATCGCACATTATACGCCGTGACTGCACCAAGTTGTGTGAAATCGCGGGGTGGCCAGTCCATGACGTGGCATAGTGGCATGAAGAAAATGACTGAGACTTGGTCGGGCTGGTGCGTGCCGTCTTCGTGGATGGGGGCCACAGAATGGTCCACACCAATAGTTAGAGACATGGCGCAGTCACGCAGTCAGTGGCGTTCCTGCATTCGACTTTTTGCATCTGGTTGTTAATTTTCGTTCCATTTCGATTAGCTTAACGCACTTCCTTCTTGCTTCTATTTTATGTACATACTTTTTGCCTTTAGCCCCACTATTTATTGTTATTCCTGTGATGAGTCGTGGCAATCGGATTCACCGCAATTCGGTGCTCGATCATAGTTGATCCACTGAACTGAACTGAGCGGAGAAATGGTGACCGTTCTAGCTGACCAAGTTGCTAAACTACTGGAAATTTTTGTGTGGACGAAATCTCAAAAACCAAAGGCAAATAGAAGACTGTGAATAACTTTGAAAGCATGATACAGTGGGAAAAACATTGAACTACAAGCTTTGGTCCGGTTTATCAGACGACAGTGGTTCACTTCTCTTTGAAAACTCCAAGCGCTTTGCTATCCTAAGCTGCGGTTGTCTTACTGGACTGTGGTGAGGCAAATAGAGCGTCCAAAATCCTTGAATAAATGGAACCATCAGATATTGTGATGCATTTGTAAGATCTTATATACCGTTTATATGTTATACTAGAGCGGTTGCTTCCTTTAACAAGTGTACCGCACTCCAAATGTTTCTTTAAAACTTTTCCACCGCACACTTCATTTTATTCCCATCCTCCACTTGCAGGGTCTACTCGCAAGAAAAATTATCCGCGTTTGATAATTTGTGCTATGGAGCAGCTCATCAAGAAAAGAAACGGGGTACACTAGCGTGGTCGTTTCATCCATCACCAGATTGCCGAGCAGGCTATCAATCATCCACCATGCAAACCATACGTCATAGTTTCAGAGCCGCCTTGTTTCTTGAAAGAGAAAAAAACTTTTATATGCACTGCTTGCAACACTCGCTTTCATCATGGGCAGCAATCATCCAACAACATGTCAGCATTGGCATAGGTCAAGTGTTCGATGAACTTAACGTGCGCACCGAACGTATTCGACAGTGTTCCCGTGGTATCTTAATGTAATCATAACTTGCATACGTGCCACAATCCCATTCCTAATAGACATGAGAGAAACTTGAACTTACTGCTCGTCTGATTATGGTGGTTGAACATAAAAACGATGAGATTTCGGCTATGCCGCAACATGCGGGGATTTCTCTCTTCCTGCATCTCACTATTTATTAAAACTGACATCAGTGATGAGATAGTCTACACCCTAGGTACCACGACCACTTCACCGCACCTCAGGTTTACCCTTGTTGTGACTCTTCAGGCAAAGAAAACCACCTTACTGGGGATGGAACCTGGGATACGTATGTTAGAGTCAGTTATCTTAACCACTACGCCACCAGACTCAGTGAGGAACATTCGTCAGAATGATTAGAAGCAAGTTACCGTAAGTTGGAGTACCTTTTGTACGGGTTGGAACAAGCGACCGCACCTTGAACTGTAAACATTGGTAATATTGACTTCTAATCTGCTGAGCTCGGTGGACTGGTATTAATAGCATGTCGGAAAACTACGAATTTCTTGACCCACTTTCCAGCCAACATCAACTCTGCTAGCGGAATCTAAACTGGTGGAGATAAAGCCTTGGAGTGTAGTGTTGGGAACATTTCCGGTTTGAAGTCAGTCCAGTGAGCAGAATGATCACTGTTGATTTCAAAGTAAATGCTGGTCCAAACTGAGATTGCGTGTCGCAATCCAGCCAGACAGATATACACAAAAATCGGTTAAGTCTATATGGAAAACCGCAGTTACAGACCCTTAGTGTTGCTCACTTGGGACCGTGGAATTACTGTTAAAATGGTGAGACACTAACAACATTTTTGTGTTTCATCATTGATTCTAAAGGAGTTCGATGAGCTCGCTCCAACATGGTACAATGGAAATACATTCCACTACTTGCAAGAATGATAATACATAACATGTACTGTAAAATGGTCGGGGCAGAAAATTCAAATTTGGAAACAAGTCTTTAAGCATAATAATGCCAATTAACTCTCCATGATCCACGTATAGAGAGATACGAATGCTCCCTTCAAGATAAGGGGAGAAGAGTTGATATTTAAAGTTGTTTCCTAACATAGAATAGTAGATGTACATGTTCATGTAGACGAAACAGGCGAACTGTTTCTTAGTTTGCATGACATAAGGGATAAAAAGCTTGAGAACAAAATCCAAGAACACACAATTTCACACAGGGCAACATTTCAATGACATTGAAAGCAACCACAATCCGTGGTCAGTTCAAACCGACAGCAGTCGGTTTTCTGATTCGGACAGTGGCGTATTACTCCTAATAGATGTATCAAGGAAGGTGGTCAAGAATGTTGACGCCCAATGGTGACGAAATGCTAGGGATGACGTATATATATCCAGAACGGGTGAATATTCTACCGTATTACTACAGCGTTGTAAAAAAATAAAGCTAGTACATAAGAAAAAGAAAAATAGTATGGCAATGCAAACTTGCCAGTCAATATTTGGAAATAGTTCACTTCCCATAAACAAGCGTCAAAGGTAAGACGACAGCAGATAGGATATATTCCAATTCTAAAGTAAATTTGGGGAGATGATAATCTATACCAATAACACAGAGGCCATAACATTTGTCTGGCATTGTAATCCAAGAAAACAAACAACGCGCCATTTTGCAAGAGTTTGCACCGAAACTTCGAGTCAGATCTGAAGCATAATATAACCTTTTTGCAATGCAACAGTCGGCTGCTAGCTCACCGGGACGATGTTCATTCGTTACTGGTGGCTCAGTTAGCGCGCCTGTGTCGCGTCTCTACTATTTTTTCTTCTTTTGTATTGCGGCACAATGGTGGTGTCCCCACATCTAGCTGACGTGTGTATTAATGATGACAAGTCGCATCTCTAAATGGGAACAGTTGGGGAGGAGCTACTTCTAAAGGTGATCGAGAAGATGCTCTGCTGTCATGCGCTTTTTACGGACGTCTGTTGGCGCGGATGGTGCATACACTTGGAGCCAACAGACAATCAGGCGTATTATCTAATTCGAGTGTTAAGGCCTGATATACAAGCTGCCAACATTCGGGGAGCAACATCCTCAGAAGTCCTTATTGTTCCTAGGTGCAAAGGGTTCCCGTCCCGAACACAAGGCGTACTTTGGCGTACGCTGCGGCTACAGCTGCGTAGTTGCAAACCACGACTGAAAAAGACAGATAACGTGTCCGCTGTACACCGAAACAGTGCTAAGCTGCCACGTGGCCACCACCTGTCACGCGCGGGCTGAGTAAACCGCGAGGATGCCCGCCCCTACGCGGATTCGAACCGGTGACCCTATGGTTGCAAGACAGGCGTGCAGACCACTCGGCCACTAACCGACTAATCCAACTGATGAACTCATTGTGGCCTGTGGTCACAGAAATCACAGCAATGTTTGATAAGCTCGCTCGATGATGTAGGGCCACATCTTGCATTCCAATTATTTGGAGTATACTCCATGTCCAACGGCGAGCTGATCAACTCAACCAATTAAGTGGACGACTACCGGAAATATATCGAATTTTCGTCGCATGTTTTTTCCAGTAGTATATCTATCGCGAGATCGCTTGGTGTTAAAGACTGACGGCATTTACAGCTGATGCTGCGATGCAAAAACATTTTCGTGAGGTACAACAAGAACAAATGACAGCGGTCGACAAGTTCGGCGAATGAAGTGGAAGTGGCGCCAGCGGTTCTCCATGAACCAAACACCAATTGCATTTTGTCGACAGACCAAGAAAAACACCAGTGCAACATTGGTACAGATATACATACTCAGAAAGCTCGCTAACTCTTGGAATGACAGTGAGCAGCGGCCCCATTTCTATGGAACTTATGAGTCGTACGCATTTCATCCTATCGGTTAGGGTCTCTGGGCCATGCGAGTGGCTGAAGTCATGAATAGGCGCCGAACTACAATGAAACGCTACTCATGCACGCTACAATGTGCTGTTGAAAAGCGCTGAGGACAGCTACTAAAGCGAAGGACGAAATAAGTAATGCCGACGAATTCAGAAAAGAAGAGACAGACTTTCGGTGCTTTTCGGGATGAGGAGTGGTTGTTAGGCTTTGTATCATTGACGCAAATCGAAATGTCGAGAAAACTACCACTAAAAAACCAAAAGTTGACAATGACCGTGTCGATTGAATTTACGCCCCATGACAGGCTGACATGAATGAGGCGGAAAGTGTGTACAAACGACGCAGGCCCCGATCTGTCCAGTGACACTAGGGTAAAACATATTTTGGCCAACGAAGTTGAATTAATGATTCACGACGGAGGGCAATAACACGGTGAGATATGAGCTATCCCGCAGGTCACGGGGACTTCAATGAGACAACTGCTCAAAGTCTGTGGATTGTATAAGCACAATGTTTAAAGTATGGTAGATATTGTATTAAAGGCAGTTGGGTGGACGAGCAGAAAGCAGTTCTACCCCCAGATTGCATCGCGTAAGCGCAATACAAGACAAAGATCTGCTAACGAAGAAATTGAATACAGTCTAAACGAGCCAGTATATCCGGACAGATACCGAAGGTATTCGCACCCTAGCGTTTTGACATAGAAGCACTGTGGTGAAGCAACCAAACCGAACAGTAAAGGGATTCACCGTAAAGCATCTCGATAAACGCACTCTAAATAAGATGACGAAGAAAGGTTATTTGTGGTGATGGTTCACAAGCGCCCAACTAACGGTAGCGATGCGGTCAACAGACAGAACAGTTAAACGAAACGTATCAAGATCAGACTCAGGCAGCCGTCCAAAGCGTCATGTCACGAGTTACCCAAACTATCGACTGGCAGTGTCCGTTATGACCTAGATGCCTGAGTCCCCGTATGTAAAATTTGACTCACGATTCAACGCAGCCAAATGCCCTAGGAGAGTGCGCATTTCTATGAATCCCGAAAGGAAAAAGACGTGGTCTAAGGTTATTCCGGATGTAAACATTCATTTACAACTCGTATCACTGTCTTTTCTCAGCCAACTGCATCCATACAACTCCGTTGGCAGTTGAACTGTTCGCTGAGCTTGGCAATTTGGTTGCAAGCGTTTCGTCACCAATCGAGGTGTCATCATCAGTGCGTAGTTGAGTGGTGTGCACTAGCGCAGAATACCGTAGAGGAGACTCGGTGAGAGTGCGCTGAGCGTGGTGTGAGTGCGTTTTTATACCGCCGTGGTTGCCCGTGAAGGCGAGCAATCCTATTGGTTGGGATTTCGATCCGCCTTCAGCCTGGTTGATGGGCAGATGACCTTTGACCTTGACTCCTTGTGTTTCGTGGCCTTTGTCTGCTTGCGCTTGTGAGCGAGTCTGTCGTCAGTTCTGGTTGGCTAGCCACACGTTCCACCGGATTCAATCGATTGAGTTGGCGGTCTTTCGCCAGTAGTGTTGCGTATACTGCGTCCAGTTCGATGTGTCGATTGATTGAATTCGTTGTAGAGTACCAGGCTTCCAAAAACTCCCTGGCGTGTTTTGTACTTCCATGTGCTAGGATCTTAACATTCTCCAGGTAGATATGATGGCTTTCTTGATCTTCGGATCAAGTCATGTTTTCTGACGGCCGCCTTATGTTCCGTGATTCGTGTGCAAAGCTTCCTTCCAGTTTGTTCGACGTAGTTTTTATCGCAGTCGTTGCATTTTAGCTGATAGATGACATTGCATTGGTCGGCTTGATTGACTTTTTCTTTGGTCTTGAGATCAA